ATACATACATACATACATACATACATACATACATACATACATACATAAAAACGTATGCCTATGTTATTCTGTCATTCTGTTACCTCATCGTCTGCTTGCTGCAATCTGGCCACAGCATAACGCCGCACAGTTGGGTTGGTGAACTGTGAAGACAGAAGCTCCAGGGAGTCCTCTACATCCATCGGCTTCCATTTGCCCAGGAGTTCCAGAGCTTGCTTCGCTTCTTGAGGAAGATGCCAGTTGACACACTTCAAGAATTTGGTCAAGGCCTGGGATCAAAAGTCAGAAACCTGTCAACGTCCCTTTCCCCAACACAGAGGTGACATTAAACAAGAAAAGAGGGGTTTTTTTTGTTTTTTTTTAATGGAGTGTCAGAAGAAATGATGGGCTGATCTTACTACAAGTTACAACTAGGCCTCTCACAATGACAATAATTGGGACTGAAATTTCCACTGATAAGGTTCACCAGTAGAAGAAAACATCTGTAGTTTAGGATAGATCTGTGGGGTCCTTGGTGCTCTCTAAGTTTGGTTGTTTTCTTGCACACATTTCATTACCCATCATCAGTGCTAGAAGGAGTGGAGTTTACGGGAAGGCAGGGAGGAGGAGGAGGAGGAGGAAGAAGAGGAGTGGGAGGAAGAGAGGGAGGATTAGTGCTCTCTGAATTTGTGTTAAGGCCTGTTGAACGCCAGCCCCTCCACCAGCCGAATCAGAGGAGAAGGAGGAAACACCGGAGTCAAGGCCTGCATCAAGGCAACCTGAGAGCTCCGAGGAGGAAGAGGAAATGGAGTTGGCAGAGAGAGAGAGAGAGAGAAAGAGAGAGAGAGAGGCAGAACCTGGGCCATCCATCAGCCCTCAGATGGAGAGTCAACAGCCCCCAGGTCTGGAGGTGGCTGATGAGGAAGAGGAGGAACAGCCGGGTCCAGTGCCTGACACACGGATGCACAGAAGGCAGAGGAGAGGAGAGCAGTGGAAATCAATGGGCCGGTTCTTGGGAAGAAAGAGCCACTACTGCTAGTGAAGCCTCACCCTAGCTCTGGGGATAAAAGGCAGGGGGTGGAGATGAACAGACAGACTTGTTAGCCTCCTGTGAGAGAGAGCAAGAGACCGAGAGAGAGAGTAAGAGAGAGAGAAAGAGAGAGAGAGAGAGACTTTTTATCAGGGCTGCTGGTGCTCCTAATAAAGGGAACATTTATTTAACTACACAGGGTTTGTTGTGTTTGGGAACCGGGTGAGAACTATTTGTTTGTTTTCTTGCACACATTTCATTACCCACTATCAGTGCTAGAAGTAGTGGCGTTTGAGGGGAGCAGGAGGAGGAGGAGGAGGAGGAGGGGGGGGAGGAGGAGGGGGAGGAGGAGGAGGAGGAGGAGGAGGAGGAGGAGGAGGAGGATTCGTGCTCTCTGAGCTTGGTTATTTTCGTGCAGACATTTCATTACTCAACTAGGCAACACCATCACCACGATAGAACTGATGATGTTACCTAGTTGGGTAACGAAACATCTGCAAGAAAACAACCAAGTTCAGAGAGCACCACAGATGGCACCGCTAGGTAACACGGTCCTTAAATGCAACGTCACGTGACCATGGTGCTTAATGGCAGAACTTCCAGTTGCAGTTGTTAAGCGATCGCTGCAGGTCATTAAGCAAGTACATAACTTGGTTGCCCTCTGAAACTTCCAGCCAGTTTCCCCACCAATTTTGCTTGTAGGAAGCCGATGAAAGAAGGTCACAAACAAAGACAGAAGAGACTCTGTGACTGACCTGTTGTAAGTACGAGGACTGGCCATAAGTATCGGTCCTTCCACACTATTGTAGGTTTGACCAGTGGCTGAATTAAGCAAGGATCACTAATATATGCAATTTCATTCACTTAGGAATTGTAGAGCATTCAACTACATGGTGCAGTCCATCTCATTAAGGACTCTGTGAGAATAATGGGGTTTTTTTTAAATCATATTTTGCTGCACTACAGATGTTGTTTGTTGCATACAAATACATTTTTAATTTTGCCCATTCTCAGGGGACGCAATGCACGAAGGAGGGAAAGATAAATATTTTAAATAAAGAAATCCATATGCATTGGTATTTCACAGGATGAATAATCCCTGTTGTTATTGGGATTTTTATTTTTTTCACAGATCTGAAGTTTTTTTAAAATCTCAAGAAACAGTGACTTGGTTTATTAGAGCTACAATAGCAACAAAGGGTTTTTAATTCTTCTTTCTCTTTTTGAAGAATAATAGGGGATGTTTGTCTTTGCCCTCGGTATTGTTACTATTGATTAACCCAAATATTAATAAAAGGGTGATGGGTGGACTGAATGACTCAAATCTTGGCCCTTCACTTCAAAAGCAGAAATATTTCAACACTAGCTGATAACCCGGCGTTGCC